TCCCCATTACAGTGTATTTGTTTCTCGTTGGCAGGTTAATAACCGTGTCTATAATTTAATGTATTTCACATTCTCGGGGGATGGAGAATATCTCGAGGCAACTGCAAGTATCAAGGGGATACTCGGCGGGCTCTTAAATCTTCTTTGCTAGTGAACTTGGAAAAATGTGTCATTAACTTTTGAATTGAGATCGGAAATGTACGCATACTGCGGCAGGAGCCTGTGTATAATTCCGAGTACGCGTGGTAAAGAGATGGGAACACCTGCAGTATGGATCATTGACATGTTGTTGAAAGTAATGAAAGGAAACGATCAAGTCCCAATTTGAAGCAATGTGAGCTAAGGCGCGTATAAAGGGTGGCTCGTAGGGAGCATACACGAGGCAATCATGATGACGGCTCTGCGCTGAAAAACACACGGAGCAGCTGATGCCAGCGAAAACAATACCCGCTTTAAATGAGTATTTTTCAGTAATCCGCTGTTGAAAAACCGACAAAACCTTTCCAATTACTCTGATTGTTAGTTCAGCTCTAAATGCAGTCATACAAGGGTATTTTGTTTCAAAAGAGTCCTCATATGACAATCATCGCATATGTTAGAATGCACTTCAATTGGTTTATTTCTATTTCTATATACAGAATAACGATTTCAAGCTAAGGACATCCACGTCGTTACTACCAGACGCGTAAATAACAGTCGTTAGGCCTGCGGAGTAATTGCTACATTGTATCGTTCTTTACACGCGTCGCCAATCGACTTACAGAATAAAACCACACATAAGTGGGCGGGGCAATAAAGTTACGACACTTGTTCTGTACTAGTAGTCGATTTCAAGTCATTACTAGCTGGGTCCTACTTCACTCTCCATTCATTCGCATTGCACGTAGTATATGTATTTGCAGTGAACCTACCCCGAACGAGGTGCTGCCATACAAATAAATACAATTGAGTTAACAAGCTGGTGACCCTCTCAGGACTCGCACAATGAATAAGGGCACATTTAAACATAACTCAGATTTCTTCATAGAAGTTGAGAAATTCGTGCAATTGACGATGATCGGGCAGTTTTTTTTAAATCACCGCCAATAAGTCTGCCGAAGTTCACAAGACATACTATAGAATGTGGTCCCTAGTCAATGATTAATGAATGTGATTCAAAGCCAAGAAATTTGTTAATTTGAATCTGGAGGCAATATTCGCTAACTCGGTTATATGAATTTAATAAGTATCGTCGGGCGATTGTTGTTCAAACTACTGTTCGTTTGTTAGTTCGTTTGTTTGTTTGTTTGTTTGTTTGTTTGTTTGTTTGGTCTGATTTTACCATATTCGGCCGTGTTCCGTGACATTACCAATTGCACCGGTATACCACAACTATTATTCACACTGAAAATACACATAATTATAACATTGTGCTATCATAAAAACATGTGATTCGATTAGTTTTGAAATATATCTGTCCCATTGTCAACGCATTGTGCAATATTATTGAACATTATTGTCTGTTATCGATTACGTCATGTATTTTAGTGTATTATTTCACGATTATCGCGCTTTCTAATTCAAGTTCAATGTCGCCAATAATTGTGACGAGTCTCTACATCGATCATTGAAAGAACTTTGATGTGCAGATTGGGTGTAACTATCGATCGGTAGCCGCCGACTTAATTCGCGCTATGCTGATGTCCAACCTTGCCGGCGGTGATTTAGCTTGCATTCACCAAAGCATTCGAAAACACACACGCGTACAATACAATTTGACTGTAAATAATGTTTTTCATTTTCTAGTAAGCATGATTTTACCATTTAGTATTTAATGCTTCAGTGCCCGGCAAAGAAGTAAGTTCGCAACGATATGGGAATCCCCGTAGGGTGAGTATTGGTTCGGTATATAGTGTCTTGTTCGATGGCGGTGTATTGAATCGTTTCCGTGCGTACAACACTCAGCGGCGTTCTCTTCATTGTTACGCCGAGGAAATACTTCACGGAACCATACAGTCAGTGGGAATGCCGACAAAATGCGTGCAAATGGAGCAAATTATTTATAATTTAAATAAAAATTCCTCGCCTCCTTACGTCCCGAGTTTCACGCACCGTGCTAATGTAAAGGAGTCCCGGGGGATCGAAGAAGTGATCGTGTTAAAACGAGTTAGTTCATTACGGAGAGGTTGCACCTTCGTCTCGAGCAATCTATAGTGCCTGCATAACGAAATTATCCCGTAATACTCACGAGACAGGAATTGGTTGAAAGGTTCTTGGCGCTACAACGGATGATGTACACCTATCTATGCGTATAGTATGTGCACATCGATGTATGCTCTAAGCTGTACTCTATATAACGGGACGTTTACTAACCCTACACAAGACTCGACCAATGCATCCCATTTTTTTAATTCGATGCAAATTTGTCAACATAAGATCGAGATATCCTAAGTGATGACTGATATAAAAGTTGCGAATTGTTTCCAAAGTTATTCTCTGAACATTAGTGGCAATTGCTTGAGAAGGAATGACGGCAGTCTAATATTTACCCAAATTAGCAAAATTTGAGATTTGGCCAATAAAGAAACGGACGTGTCTGAGCAAACCTTACGCAGTTGCAAAAGTACCCTGTATTGTTCTGGTGTCAAATCTATAAAATATAGGAGACATTGGAAGACCTTTTTTTTAAAGTAAACATAATTTAAGTCGTGCCTCATATAGATGTGTTATTATCTTGTTCGATAAATGCTGTAAGCTTCAATGCTTTTTATGTGACTTAATTGTAATTTTTTTATTAATGGATATTTTCAATAAATAAACCCGGAGGCCAATTGTCATAATGTGCCTGGCATCCGTCACTTAGTAGCTTCTGGACCGTCATCTCAATAAACAGCGCAGTCACGACGGTGGCGGCTTTCATGCACGAACTCACCAAAAAAATCACCAGTCCATGTTCTGTCTTGAGATCAGAGATTCAAACGATATCATTATCACGCATGGCAGTATTGTTCGCAGTCTTCCACCACAATACGCAACGGTCGGGATTTGCCTCGAGGTGATATTTCATAATTTGTTTTATTGAATTCATGAGAGACGACGCTTGATATTTAAGGAGTACTCCACGTGGTTTACGTTAAAATGAACTTATTTCGACGCTTATATGAGAATATGTGTTTTATTACTTAATAATGCTTTCATCGCGAAGATTGAGAGTTAATAAATTTATATATGTGTGTAACAGTTGCAGTGACGCATATTACTCAATGCCCTAATTCGGTGTTAAGCCGATATTAAAAACGGAATTTCCTGTATATCGTGAACTGAACATGGGGGTGGAATAGGGATAGATCGTAAGAATCAGACAAACAACAAAAGTATGCAAAGGGCGTCATCATTCGTTTTGACAGACACTAAATCTGAAGACATCCGCATATATGCCCCCCTCTCCGTCCCGAGCTGACGGGGTGGTTCCAGTTGAATTGGGTGGAATCTGACATTTCCGGTATAACCAACCAACCAACGGTTCCTCGCTCTTCCATCTCCTGGACTTATCACAGTTTGTCTCCTATTGTGTTTCTCTGTATCGATACATTGATGATTTGATATTTGACGAAGGACTGTGAAAATTGTGAATATTTTCATCATATTGCAAGTAGATATTTTCATGAGCTTGTGGATAAATCCCCCAGCTGAACTTGAAATATGAGAGAATAAGTGGAAAATACGATGGTATCGTTTAATGTTTTGTGTTCTGGCGGAATTGCACTATCTTGTCACTCAATCAAATGCATCTGATCGATAGCTATAACCCTACGTAGGTTGTTGGTTTTTGAACGATCCGCGATACCACCTAAATGCCCAGATGCCGTTACAAATCAAACGGGGACTGTAATACGATACGGGGTGCTCTTCCACTTAAACTTGGATATCACCGTTATGTATTTATGCAGCCGATAACGTAGATCTACAATCTAAACGCTGTCTACGTTGTTCCACTCACCGGGTAAATTAAACCTTGTGAATTTAATCCCCGGTGATTTCGACTGGCGAATTAACCACGAATCTATTTTTATAGATTATAGATTTTATAATCTGTTATCACCTTTGAATCGCTTCCACATTAAAACGTACCGAGTGTCGTTGATAAGAACGCTGTAAGTCTTATCAGTATTCGGGAGGAAAACCGAATGTTTTTTTTTTGTTAACTGATCTCAAACTCCGATAATGACGAAAGAGAGAAAGAGAAATACTTCAAATCGAGAGCTGACCAACGTATCCCCAGATGATGGAGTCGTAGCCCTAGTAAAGTTCCAAATTCGGTTCTACTGCTTAATACGGTTTATTTAGAAACGAAGCATGTAAACAGCTGTAAATTAACATGTATTCGGTATACACCTTAATTTCAAATACTATAAAACCACAACGACCTAAAAATGAATTGACTTGCACATATGCCGAGATGATTACAATGGATATGAGTATTGTTCATAACACGAAACATACATTCGCACCTTGATCAATGTTGCAATGTCACGGCCACCTCCCTGCGTGAAATCATTTTAATTTAAAATGCATGATATGATGTATCTTCTGTATTCCCTAATTCAGTATCTATAACTATCTGATATCGATATATATGTATGAATCTGACAACAAAGGAAAGTTGAAATTTTTCACGTGTCTATATTTGGCTTCTTAAATAAAGCTCTGTGTTATTTTTGCGAGGCTTATTTTGACAGCGACTACATGCCCAGTGTTAATTACCAACAGAATAAGCTATTATTCTTACTTCCTTTTCAAGTGACGTGTCATCTTTCGGCAATATCTTTATTTTTTCCGCCTGAACGAGCAGTTGTTTGACACTCTCTTCAATAGAACACGGCTTTGGAATAGCAGATTGGGGCATTACTGAACAAGTGTTCTGAGTTGCATTCGGCCTCAACGTAGCGGTCACCGGGGACGACATAGAGGATCGAGCACAGATAAGCAAATAGGCAATTTATCTTGTTGTTTTGCCTCAGAGAGCTTACCCAAGTACGAGCTGTCAGTGGCAAATCGGATGACCCCAAACAAGGGTCATGTCCATTGCGACTGCTTACAATTACTCGACAAGTTGTCCACCCTGGAAATGGAAGAAATGGAAAACGGTTTGGGGAATGGTCTTGACTTCACCGGATCAAAAGTGGTGGACCGTCGTGTTTTGTAAAATCAACGAACAGCAATGCATCGTGTCGGCTTCGAGACACCGTGACTAGTTGCATGTTCAGTTGGCACATCATGACGGCTCAGTCACGTGATAAAAAAGACTTACTTAAAGTTATCCATGTTATATTTATGTACGTATTTTTATTTTTATTTTTCATTTTTTTCCAATTCTGTTTCAGCCGAGCATTTTTTCTCCGTTGAGACGCGCTTAAAAAATAACAGGTCTCGGAATGATCGTTACGCAGACCGTGTTATACGCGACACAAGGGAGGCGCAGTATTGGATCCTTGTCATTACGCACAATTCGCATATGACATATAGTTTGTTGTATTCTTCTTCTGTTAGTCGTTCGGTAAGCAATCCTCTGGTCACCAGGATTACACTTTAACCGTAACATTCCCCAAGCCTCGATGTTGCGTAGGTATCTGGAACTCCGGTCCCAGAGCCTTAATCGCAAGCGACGTCGTGCTTTGTGTTGGACATATCCATCTTTGGATTGGTAATACCCTGAGATAGTATCTTTCTGATACAGTTGTTACAAAGTGTATATTCATAATTGCGTGTCTCGTTATCTACTGCTGCCTGGGGCAGGACTTGCAGAATCCTATCTTTCCTCCACGCCTGGCTGAATGCATAGAAAGGTCCGGGGACTATAATCAAATCCCCAATTTACAGGTAACATTTATGGCCTAGTAACTCGTTTCTTTCTGCCAATCAGACATCACTAATCTCCTAGATACAAATGATAAAAATCTACCACTATCTCGCCATTTGTCACTTCAAATTAAAAAGTTTATTATTTTTTCTCATTAAGTTTTACTAACATAGACACGAAATACACAAATAAACGTAACTTTGGCGTTTGTTGACAACTTTGAATCTGAATTAAATGTTAAATCTGTACTATGAGACCGTGCCCGCTAATAGCAGGCGCTTATATTCTTACATGGATGTGAATTACTCTGCTGGGTACGATGAAAATAATAACAGCGAAGTTAGAACTGTGTGTTACTTAACATAACAGTGACAGCGATGTATTCAATTTCAGTGATATGTGCTGAATACCGTGTCTTTGTCCCCGGCTTTGTGTGGAGCATGGTCTCAAATACCACACAGACAGTTATGATCCTTTTTTTTCTCGGCGACCTATTTGTTCCTGCCATAATTGAAATAGTGGATCACTTTATTACAACTAGCGAACGCCACAGTCCTATTTTTAATGAGTTTTCGTTATTCTGAATATCGGGATTAAATGTATCGGGAATGTACCCTTATTATAAACTGATAACTTTTCTCATTTAGGCTCTTAGCTTATGCTTTTCTTCTTTTTCATTGTTTGCCGAGTGCGGGAAGGCTTGCTTCACTTGATTTTGGCATTCATATATGAGAAATCTGCGGTCTGGAAATTCAATTAGTGCTACCGCATGTATATTACACCTCATCCGTTGTCTGATTTCATTTACCAATAAAGCTTCCGTGTTTTACTTATTTGTGGTTTTTACCTCAACTTGCCCACAGACTGTAATCTGTGGTTATACGCTAACGCACGATTGTGGCGTGTGTGTATTTGTACGCGTGTATTAAATACCGCGATTTGTGCGCCTTGTGTGTAAGAACAAAGAAACGTCAGTCTCTGCGTACGTGAGCAGCATGATAAAGACGGACCGACGCTGCTTCACAACACCCACAAAAGCGGGTCGTAGAGGGCGCGTTTAAATTGAAAACAAGCGTTGTTCGCGGGTTCAGGTAATAACCCTTTCGGTTCGAGTCGACGACACGATCTACGTATTTTAACAACCAGGATCTCAGAGTGTGTCACGTGATCTGTGGTACTGTAGATGCAATAGCAATTTGCAATAGTAGAACGCAAACTTGAACCCTGTCAGTTCTCAGTAAGTCAGACTTGTCATACTAGTCGGTGGTGCCAACGCTTCATATTTTCCCACGGTGTAAACAAACCCAAAATACTTCCTCTAGTGTCTTTTAATAAACACGGTTTACTGACAGTGTAGTATAAATCAGTAATTTTTCTGCAAGATTAAATCATTCAAATCCTTCCAAAATAATGCATTTGCTACCGTAACATTAACCTTTTCAAAGCACATACGGACGAGGGAATGCTAAACCATGAGGTATTCTGTTTTAAGAACGGTCCTTATTCAAGTTTGATAGTTTTGCTTGGCTACTATAGAAAAGAACTGTCGCCGAGCAAATGAAGGCTATACACCACCACTTATCGTCCAATCCAAGCGCCATTATCGACAACATAACGGATATGCCAGCGTGATTAAGTTGCGAAACTTAAATCCAGGTGTACACGTTTTATCCAGCACATAAATTGTCTATTATGCGTGATGAATGACTAAAAATGTATTTCTTATTCTCAAATAATTGCAGTTGTAAATCAAACGCCGAGAAAGAGGGGAGGGAGCTCAGTACATGCGGTAGAGTGGAGGATTATTCTGCAATACAATCATCTAAATGTAAGTCCTAATGGGAGGTAACCATAACATTTACTGCTATATAAATTCTACTGTAAGGACGGTTTCAATCTGAAACGGCTCGCTCGGAAGACAGTGGTCGTTTCCTGCCAAGGCTGAGCTTTATTGATTATCTTGAAATGAGAAGGATTGGCAATATTCGGTGATTTCGGATTTAGCCGGTGTTGCTAGCCTGTCTGAGGTGCATACAACGTCTATGTCACGGTCACGGTTTGGAGGAACGTGAGAATAGATGAAACTGTACAGGTTTTATCCACAGTACTGTGGCAGCCGGTAACGGGACACAACTGATGTAAATGAATAAAATAACTACAGCGCAGGTTTTATTTTATTTATTTTATTAAATATGTGTTGTTTCTATGCACATTATTGTCGAGCGTCGTCTCGCCCTGGTCTCGCGGTGCTCGTTCTAAGAAGTAAATAAACAATGTATTGTATACGAATAATCCTCTTGCATCAGCAAATACATGATGTAGTTGACTTGGAATACAACGTTAACTTTAGATTGTAAACAAGGACGGGTGTGGATAACTAAGGGAGATACTCATATCGCTTCAGACTACGAATTTTTGGAGATTATGGCACAATAATCGCGAAGTTGTGATATACCTAATTGTGCCGCGATATGGATCTTCATTGAATTGAAATTCCTGTACATCGCTGTGTGACGAGGGGAGCGTGCTTATCGTATTTACGTCTAATGACGTCACAGCACAGCGCGTAAACACGTGTGTGAATATAATTTCACAGATTCCTTATTACAAATCAATCATCAACCTGTACTGATCGACCAGGACTCGTCTGTAAACGCAAAGATTATACTGAAAAACAAGTCGTTCACGCTCGGTGATGATCAAGGTTTTATTCTTAGAGCGACCAAATGAAGACTCGTACGTACGCGGCGTTGAGTCAGGGTTCTAACAAAGAAATAGGATACCAAATCAATCATATAAACTAACGTGGCGACAAATGGTATCTCTGTATTCGACGTTTGATAATATCGTAATTCTGATGAGACGTCGCGATTTGTATCAACCACGCAACGCTCACGAGAGCTCCGACTAACAACAAGAAGACCCCTTTATCATGTTGGCCTTGAAGACAATTTTTGGGATGTATTATTTTAATGACCACATAGGACAGATTTGTATAATAATTCCTGAGATTATTATCGTTAATATTATCGTGACGAGTTCTATTTTAATCAATCATACGGATTCATCTCAGTAACAGGAAAGGGTGGATTCCGCTCACAGAACCGTTAACAACGGGGTTCTTATAGCGTTGATGTCGATTTTACCCTCCCTAGTTATATTGCTGAGATTCATATAATGACTAGACACCTGTTATCCAACCCGCATATCGTATTGTGATTGGCTTAAGCGATACACGTGATTCGACCAGGCATAGTCACTTAAAAATCACCGTGCATCGACAGTAGCTAGTTGGAGTCCATAATCGGCATAAGCGCGAACTCCGGTACGTGAATCAATATTTTTGTTAAGTTATTAAAAAACAAACCCAATGCAATATGTATAACGAAACACAGAGGCTTTGACTCACTTTCATGGTGCCGTTACAAACAACAGTTGCCACCCGCTTCCCAGCCTGCTTATAACTACTTTCTCTTACATACGTGAGCTCACGTTTCAGCAACACAGAAAATGAGCAACGGTCGTCGTTACCTCTGTATTAGACATTATACTAGAAAACTAACCGAATTGATATATAATCCACCGTCAATTACCACAACAGCAATATTATCAACGATAACTCCGTGAATGAAAACCAACCCCAGCTTCATTACATTAACAACGGGTTTTTTTCCTTTACATGGATATGTGTGGAAACTAAGCCATGTGTTGAAAATACTACTACATATATACCCTGTTTAACAATATATCCACATATTTTTCATGTATTAATATATTTTTAATTATTATTCTTTGTATCGGGAGTGATCATCTAAGTATGTAACGTGATCGATACTGTGCCTTGCTACAAGAGTAGCGTTATCTAAAGATTGTACTGAAACATAATACAGTGCGATACCACAAGAAAATATACATTTACCAGTATTTGAAATATAGTATCCATCGCCAGTAAGTCGGGCTTGGAAATTGTTGAGTCGTCGTCTAGTCCATACTACAGACAGATAACAAACATTACGTGGAGCGCGTAACAATTAACGGGGATGTCTCTTTAATTTATTTTTCGTCATTTAGATTACAGATGTAATGCGTATTCTGAAATTAACTAATTATTTACATATTTCCGAAATACACGCCACTAGAGAACTCATCTTGCATTCCCATGTTTTAATAGAGGGGTCGTTATTTGAAGAGCAGCATTTCAATCGCAGGCTGGTATCCGGTAATAAAGATTTTAACATCCGACTTCAGGATATTTTCCAACTGCATACGTATCATGAGTTTTATTTCAGTGGTTATAGGTCGTCGTGACGTCACATACTAGACTGTATCAATACGGCGCACATACT